TGAGCTTCCTCCGTGGGTTGAGTCGCGGGGAAGCAGCAGTCAGCGAAGCGGATGGCATGGCTCGACAGGTGTGTGCAATAGATGGAGGTTTGCTATTCACCACTAAGGATGAAATTGAGTTTTGAACGCTGAGCGGGTCATTATGTGTGCGTTGCGAGCAGTGACTGATTTCCCGCCTCCATAACTTGGGAACAAAATCGATCTGGAAAGCTCAAAACACAGCCAATCAAAGCTGAGATCTTGCGCTTTCTTGTAAGCCAATTAGATAGCCTCAACTCGAAGTATTAGAAAAATGCCGCCAATCAGAAGAAATATGTGACTCTTTTTGTGGACCAGAGTAGTATTGTTATTAATGCCATCAAGTTTCAGCCAATAGGAGTAATTCGCAACTATTATTGGCTCACCCAATTGCGATCGACCACGTGTACTGGTGTGCCACATTTTGAGGCGCATCAGGCTCCATTCTAACCATGCCGTCGGCACCAAGAATGACCAAGCGTGCTGCCATGTTCTTTTTGCGCGCACGATGGAGCTGTGCAATGGCGACATTGATAAGTTCTTGTCTGTAATGGAGATTCTTCTCCGATGAAAGGTCATTCGATTCCTTCTGGAGCACCCAATTATCTCGTACAACAATGCGTTCGACCGGGGCCTCGACAATGCTACGGCGATTCACAAGAACCGGTTCACCTTGCCCCAACTGCACACACTGTGCGAAAAGTTTCGACTTATAACTTGGATCACTACTGAATCGTCCGATCGAATCGAGGTTGTCGAGGTGTTGGCAATGACGTGCTGCCGACTGGCGGAACCATTGCGTTTGTTAACCGTGGCGAATGAGTTCGGAAGGTCCGTGGAGTCAAGCAGTCGCGTGATTTTGGCTGTTGTGCGCATGTTGTACGCCAAGTTTGCTGACGTATTGTACTTGCCAGAGACATTGACGACCGAACGACCAGGTAGAAAGTTTATTATACAACTATGACTTACACATCTATAGTAATGTATGCTCGTGCCATTGAACGGAAGTTCTGAATAAGCGTGTAGACATGCATTAGTTTTATGGATGACACAAAGCAATACATTGCACGACCAAGTCCTCGGGATGACGGCGAGGCAAACGAAAATCTCGAGCGGGCAGTGTACAATGGCCACCCACGACGCCAACTGTGTTGGCAATGAGTCATCTGCTCGATCGACTGCAAGAGAACCCGGATTGGCGGGTTTTTGCATTTATGGCGACCCAGCGTACGGGTGCCGGCAGTGTTTGTCGTGTTCAATTCATGCACGAGCTCCGTGCGTGAGTCTGTCGAGTGGAGTTTCCACATCATCAAGCGTTTGTGGAGTTTCGTCAGTTACGACAAGAAAATGAAGGTTCGAAATTGCCCAGTAGGTTTGCTATGGTTAGTAGCAACATTGCTTACCAACTGCCATACGTGCATGAAGCCCCAAGGGAATCAAATCTCTATGTACTTCGGTCTCCAACCGCCCGATGTCGACATATACCTTGGTATCAACAATTAATTTCATAACTTTACAATTTCGATCGTACAATTTTGTAAAGTAATAGTACAGTCTTGTCGCATGCTCATCATCGATACTACTCTGGTCCAAAATAGTTGTTAGGTTCATTTTGACTTGATTAAAGTATGAGAGACCAATTCGAAACAGCTTGATATTTGTATGTAACTCCAGAAACGCATACATGTATGCAAGGCCAAAAATACAATGACATTTTATTAATTTGTCACAACACCTTGTTCTTGGGAATTCACTTGTGCCTCCATGGACGCTTCCTCGCCCAGTCGATAGTTCAAGTGGATCAAAGCACTCTCGTATGTATAGGCATCACACTCAACGTTGAAGGACGTGAAGTCTGAGATCAGGGCGTCCTTCTTCATTTGAGGGAGCCTATATTCGTTGCTTCCATGTATGTCGATGCATTTACTCCGTCACCTTTTGAAGTGTAATGAAAGTTTTTGACACCTATCCACAGGCAATTCATAAAACGAGGTTTCTATAGCATCAATAAGATCCTCGATCGTTCGAGTGCACTTTTGATACTGCAGGCTTTGAATAGAGTTAAAATATCCTAAGTCTAAAACGTTAAAATCTGGACTATTCGGCGGCTGATTCTTCACTTCAATTCCGTTTATACTTCGCGACTTCAGCATACTTGTTGTCAAGCACTTGTGGGGGCTCGCATTATCTTGTTGGATTACAACACCAGTCTGCGGTGGGAACTTTGACTGTATCGCAGGCACAACATTATTTAAAACCATGTCCAAGTATACTTTAGCATCGACTGATTGTGGAGTCGTCACTATCGTGCCTTTTGACCGATTTTTACTGTTGCGCCGTGCAGGCACTTTTTCGACAAACGGCCAAACACCGATGTTGCCATCGAAAATAGCGCCGTTTAAGTCAACACGAGGGCGGGCAATAGCCGCCATGAACATAACTTTTGTTATAAACTGTTTCGACTTCACAAATCGAGCTGCGACAGCTTCGTCCTCCTACACATAGAATTTTCTTTTAACCAAAGTTAAATAGAACCATTTTTCATCAATATGCACATACACGTGCATACTTATAAAAAAATTACTCCCATCTGACAGAGGCTGAAGAAAAGACATGGCAAAACGCAGGCGCTCTTGTTGGTTACTTGGAGTAAGATAGGGCTTGACATAACTTGATCGCGCCTTCAAACTCGCCGCTTCTTTCATGTGTCTCATAATCGTCGACTTGGGTATATTGTTTGCTCTTGAAGGCCATGGACCTCAAGGTCTGCCGTGACGCCTGAGGTACTTGATGAATCGCTGCTTCAATTTCTTCGTTCGTTCGCTTTCGCTTGGGTCCAGAATTACCTAAAGCAGTAAAATCTTAAAACTCTATACTCGCAACATTCGATAAATATATTACATCATAGAGATTTACCGCGAATTCTCGATGCGACATCGGCACACATGCATCCTTCTTGGACGGACTGCAGTCCGCGCGACCAAATTCGCGACACAGTTAGCGCGTGGCAACCGAACTGGGCAGAAACACGAACAATGGATCCACGGGGTAGTACGCCTTGCGATGAAACGCCAAGCAGTGTTTCGTACAACGCTTGGCGTTCATCGGAGCGGAGGTGGGTGCTTGAGCTTCGCGGCGCGTCGACGGGACGAGGCTCGACGCAACGAACGTTGGTGGGGTATGGATGCATAGTGAGGGTAGTGTTATAGAGAGTGTAGTGTTGGGGCGATGAACAATCGTGTAATGATCATGTTTCGAGATGTTTCTACTTCGCTCATTTGACACGCCAACTTTGGCGCCCAATATCTCGACAGCCAAAATGCTCTAGAAAGATTGCAAACTACCCAATCAAAGCAGAGCTCTTGCGCTTTTTGATGCACCAATCGCATCGCAAAACGGGTGATATATAGAAAAACTCTGTCAATAGAAAAAACTACCTAACAACTATTTTGGACCAGAGTAGTATATATTATTTGAATCGTTTAGCCATCGCACTGATCAAGTTTAACATCAAGCGCTGATTTGCGTTGTGTTGCGCAGAATTACCTGCGGCCTGCTCACGATCAAAATCTAAACGTGCAACTAACTGCTCAGCTGAAGTCATCCATGCGGGCTTGAATGTCACCAAGGAGCTGCTCGCTTTCTTCGTACTCTTCTGACGTTCCCGACTTCCGCAACGATGCACTTTCGCCACGCACGAACTTTCACATCAGAGCGTCGAAACGGGCTCATCTTCTTCATTCCGAAGCTTGTTGACTACCGGTAGCCAAGGTCGGTGGCTAAAGAGCCCCATGCCAACACCTGCTTGCCGTAGTCGGTTTCCCATGGGCGAGTGAAGGTGACTAGCAGAAGCAACTGAATATCGTGGCGACAGGCAAACTTGCGATCTCAACTTGATTCGTCCGGGTGACTTCCACCAGCTCTGGCTCGTTGATCAAATGCGCTGACATTTGATTGACTTGTGAATGAATGGTGTGTGTTTATGATATCCATACCAAGAATATCCGTCTTCAGGATCTAAACTTCGGCAGCCAAATGTTGGGTTCCAAGGCCGTGAAGCTATGGCTACCCATAGGTTGAGACAAGTTTCGACAATGTATTTGTAGAGGAATCTGGCGAAATACTAATTTAAGGAGTATAATTCCAATCCAATGTCGAAAATTGATGTACCGAAAACTCTCTAGTAGTATTGCGGATTTGGTACAGAATTCCAGATTCCGTCGAATCGAATCTCGCCGACTGAACCTATCACAAACCTCGCCCATTGGCTAATCCATTCATGCTAGATTATGATTAGCTACTCAGAAACCAGCCTTTCAGAGAACAGACTTTTAGAGAACGTGCCGCGCTTCAACTCCAAACTATCCACGCGGACACCCACCATGGACGTTGCAGACACTCCCGCGAGGAACATAAGATCCTCACAAAGCCCACGTCCAAGCCCACAACCCGAGGTGGGGGTGCACTCAACCTCGTTGTACGAGCTCACACTTGAACCTATGGTCAAAGAGACTGTCGGTCAGCGCAACACGTCCGCTGTAAGGTTGGCGACGTTCGTCTGTGGTGGCGCGTCGTGGAGTGAAATCTTGAACTTGACGAAGACAAAGATCTTCGTCAAGTTCAAGGACAAATGCCTTGGCCTTGCAGCTAGAGACGACAATGGAGCATGGACCATCATTGACGAACCCCTCAACGAGACATACTTTGCTCGTATGTTCTCACTACGATCAGGCTCCCACGTCCGACGACTTGACAGCAACAGCTCAATGGGGGACTGGCTCACAGCGATGCGGTCGACTCGTGTTGGCCTATCCATCTACAAGTACGGCAATAGTGTTGCGACGAAAGAGCAGTTGCTGGAGTTCACAGCGGTATGTGTTGTTCCCGGGGTTCAGGATCGTGGAGGTGCCCCAAGCGAAGAGACGATCCAGCAGTACATCGCAAAGCTCCGCGAGAAGTGGCAAGAGGCGTGGGAAGGCGACCGTCCAATTTAGCGCATTTGTGCAGGCCATGTCCTCCGCCCTCCGGTGGTGGCGTGGGATTCCCGCATCCAACATCAACCACCGTCACACGTACTGGCACGCCTGCGACCAAGGACTTTGGCGCATGATGTCCGAATGGAATCCATGGGGAGAACAATCCGTACTGCAATGGATGTTGTCGATGCGTCTATGCTCGAATTGGGCAAAGTCCGTGATTCAGTGGACGTTATCCTCCGTGCTGAGGAAATTGTCAACCAACGACTTGCATTATTTGAACAAGCGCTGGCGGCGAAACGGGAAACGCTTGTAGCCATGGGCCAGGATCTAGCACCAATTCCCGACAACGAATTACCAGTGGCCGGTCTGCATGCTGTTGAGAATGTCTGAGACACCGACCATGATTTCGCATTAGAAGACATGGAATAATTTGATGCATTAATCATTATCTCGAGTTTCAAATCCTAAATCCAATGAGGTCATCGTAATACTTCCCAGTCGTACACCGCCTTGATGAAGTCCTCTACATGGATCAAATCGACCCGAGGATATCCACCCACAATGGGATAGTACCTTAGCCATATCGATCTGCTTGAAGTTTTGCATGATCTTCACGACGAAATAGATCAAATTCCGCTCGGTGCAGCATTCAACGTAGTGTCGTTGGAATGCCTTCTTCAGGTATCCGAAGAAGTACTCAGTGGGGTTAAAAAACGGGCAGTAGGCGGGCAGGAATATTGGCACAATCCCCAATTGTCGCGGTACATGACGATTTCGAAGTGGCAGTGAATCTTTGCCCCGTCAAGGATCCAGACTGAATTTCGGCCAGGATACATCTTCACTTGGCCATTGTGAGCGAACTGAGAGCAGCATTGCACAAAATTTGTTCGGACGAATGTCCCCTCCGTGTCAAAGTAGTCAAGCACCCCATCGGCACCCATGAAACAGAGAAGGGACACACACTCGAGGCTTTCGGTTGAACTCGCCGCGAAAGATCAGCTTGGTACCCTTCATTGAGTAACCTCGCTTCCGAAGCATGCCACGGTTGTCAAAGCTGACCTCGTCAAGAAAGACGACGTTTCTCTGGCTCCAAGTGATCGAGTCCAACTCACGAACAAATCGACACACATCTTCCTCGTGAATTTGGATTGCACGACGCTCGAGCACCTTCCATGCTATCCCATGGTCGTGAATGATCGCCCAGACGTGGGAAACAGAGATTCGCTTTTGGAAAGCCTTGGCAAACGCGGACTTGGCTTCATCGAGAAAGGACAGTGGTTGGGCAGTGTAGAACGCGATGATCCAGGTCTTTTCGGCCGTTGTGAATGTTCGTGTGGTGGATACAGTCCTTCTTTGGTAGCCGCCGGTCTCGTCGTATCTTGTCACCCAGTTGGCAATCGTTTTCTCGTCCTTCCCATAGATGACTGCTAAACGAGACTTCTTCATCCCAAGGAAGTAGTAGCCGTAGAGGCAGTGCATCACAGTGTTGGGGCTGGCGTGTCGGTGGAAGACAACAGACTCAATAGCGCTCATGGGTGTCCACGAGAAAGAAGAAGGGCGTGCGTTTGGAAATGGCACGCAAATGCGAAACTGTCAAACTCACAGACTAACCAAGCAAATATCGTCGCGAGGTTTATGAAAGTAGGGCTCTGAACCTTTCCATATCCGGAAATTCACAGCAAATCGACAATATGTCATTTGTTGTTTAGAGTGCTACTTTGAAAACTATTCACAGTCAGGCATGCACATTGGTCGAAATCCATCACAGGACTTATATTTCATTGGAAGAAAATAATTGACCTATGTTGATTGTATATTTCTATCCAATTAGGGACACACCCAACCGAAACCATGAAAGTGATGTCGGAGAAATCATAGGTGTACTGTAGTACTGTAGTGAATCCGAAATACTAAAACCTGACTACTACTACGTAGTACTACCTCCATTCGTAAAAGAATGTCTGACTTCACTGTCAACAAATACCATCTTCGGATAGTATACTTGCGCAAGCGTATTTCACAGATCTTAGGGTCACCCTGGCTGCCACGAAAAATGTCAGAAAACACCTACCAGTGTGAGCAAGTTTAGTAAAAAATGATGTATTGTGCTTTTCACAACTTTTGGTTATTCGGGTCTAAACCCCCTCTATTATACATGGACCTATGTCCGGAAGTAACAGTAGTTGCAACATTTGAGATTGTTGAATTCCGAAAATGGTTGCAACAAATATCGCGAGTAATTCACCTGTAAAACGTTGAACAGTATTTCAAGGATTGCCATTTGGCCTATTGGATGCAAAGGAAACCCGTTTAAATACGTTTTCAGCGAGTTGCCAAATATTATCAAATTTTAGAGGTGTGTATAAGCGTCCGACTCGTACAGTACTGTATTTACACAAGACGGATACTTGAATTGTCCGGATAAACCTCCTGTTATACCGGATTTGCATACAATTGTTAAGTATATTGATCGTTCACCCCTATGGCCAAATGTTTAGTGGACAGCTAATATTTGCAAACTATCATTTCTTATTTCTCAATCAATTCTTCGCTAAATTTATCTGAGACGTAACATATCTTCATCTTGTTGAGATCTGTCGAAATTACCTCTCGGTTTACTAAAATTTTGAGTAATGAAGATAAAATAGCACCCAGACTTTTTTGTGAAAAGTGCCAGGAGGAGGCGTTTTACTATTAAACGCCTCGGTTCTGTCATTTAAACCCACGAAATGTTGATGTTACTGTTAACAGACGTCCTGAATAATCCGGATTCACAGTCAATGGACGGATAAGTGCAGGATACAAAGACCATAATATACTTGATGTTCCTTTTCGGCCAAAATATGCCTGGCTCCATGTACAGTATTTCCATACAAAAGGCCGGTTGATATAAATTCTATTACTAGTCCTCGATCATTTTTCACCAATCGAAAATCTGAACCGTAACTTCGGTTGGGCTTTTCCAGTTCTATCGTTATTACAGCTATTTTCGTAAAAATATCAATACAAAGTTGGAATAGCTGCCAAAATGCAAGGAATTTTTTTGTAGTATTTCGATGACTTGCACCAAAGTTCTGTTGCAATCAGGGAATTGTTCTTTGAAATGAAGTCTTGAGCGTTAATTTTAACAGTACCGGTACACTGTACCAGTATGAACTGCTAACGAGCCTTATTTGGTTGTCCCAAAGTTTCTCGTGAACTCCGTATACAGTATGTCCGCACCTCATAATAATACGGAACTACGGTACAATAAGCTCACTGTTCTGTTCAAATACTTGAGGATGCAATATTAACCTGAACATAATAACTACTAGTTCCATTTTGTTGTTCGCTAGTGTACTTTGGGTTAATTGTAAGTTTTCAAATTTTAGCGAAGTTGCTATTTTGACAATGGGTTAATTATTCACAATGTGTAAAGTGGATTCACTGTCAGCATCTGGTATGAGAGCTTCGAGCGTGTGTAAGTTAGCATTACCCAAACTGGTTGACGCCTATTGGTGCAATGCAATGCAATTATTACCCAATCATCCGCTGATTGAAAATTCAAATGATTATACTACGTACCGATCTCCGTTCAAAACTGATTGTGCCCCTGGTCGTGTTTTTCCCCAGTTCGATGTAGTAGTGTCTAGGATTCATTATCAACGCAGACGTTCCTAACGTTATTACTTACTGTGTGTTCTACTCAAAATTTCCTCGGGCGGTTGGTTGAATGAACCGCCGAACAATCGCTGGACCATCGAAAATTTAATATAAAACTAAGTTTAAGATGTATTTCTGTAATGCATCAATCAATCTTTTTAGCCAATCATATTGCAAACAATTTTTTTGTAGCCAATCATACTCCTTTGCTCGATTAGTTGGCGATTTCATGACTCCACCAAAATAGGCAAGTTTGACTGAAAAGCACAATAGTATCACTACAGTATACGTATAGTGGTCGACCATTTAATCCGTGCACTGTCTCCAACGAAGAATTTTCGCCATCACACTTCACTTCTCCGACGAATGCTCAAAGTAACCATGTGAAGACGAGCCAACATGCGGTGCTGAATAACCCAATCACAGATCGTGAATAATACTCTCCTCACACCGCTCTCCCATCGAATTCTACATACTTGGAATATTAATGTTATGTTGTGAGTTGACTCACTGACGTTGGACTCTCCTCCAAAGTCTCACCAATCAACGTGACACATTAATTCCCCTATAGAAGAAGCACCAGGCTGAACTTTTCCAGCTGTTAAGAATAATTGGTTATATAGCAAGAGATTTGAAATTAATTTAATTCGAATATTCTATCGAGTCAATAATTATACTGAATAAGGATACTGTACTCAAATGAGTAGCAGTAATCGCTTCGAGGATGCGCGACTCGCGCAATTCCTGAATCGACCACCACGCCAAACATGAGGACCTACCATGCCGCGATCCTGATGCTCGCGGCTGCTGCTGCGTCGACGTCCTTCGCAGCGGTTCAAGCAGACAACATCACTACTCTGTCGCCGGAAACCTCGGAGCCTGTCACGATCTTGCCACCGGAGCCAACGACCACTCCAGCACCAGTGGAGGTCCCAACGACCACACCCGTACCACCCACCCCAACCACGACCCCCACGCCAAACACCCCGCCTCCTCCTACCTCAGAGACGCCCACGACGTCCGCACCTGTCGTCTCCACAACCGCCGTGACTACCACGACCGCGCCGCCAACTGCACTGACCACACCGCCACCTGAACTAACCACACCGCCACCTGAACTAACCACACCGCCACCTGAACAAACCTCACCGACCGCCCCGACCACAAACTCATCGGCTTCTCCGACACCGACAAACGCACCCCCCGACGTCACCACGTCAGTGGCCCCCACAAACGTTCCGCCCACTGCCGCTCCCGCCCCGACAATCATTTCTCCTGACGAACCAACTTCACCTACTCCAACCTCATCACGACCGGAAAACATCTTGGTGGACTCCAACACTGCCGCTCCCAAGCCTCCATCAACTTCAACCTCCACCTCGCCCACCCCCACCAAGGCCTCGACCTCTGCCGGTGTCGCAGATTCGTCCAACACCACCACAGTCATCGTAGCGATCATCGGTGGCGTCGGCGGCATTATTCTGCTGGCCATCGCATTCGTGTTGTTGCGCCGTCGCCGCGGCGCCCACGAAGGCGACGACGACGACGACGTGCTGTCTCCGCACAACAAGAGCATCCGGCCAATGCATCACGAGCAGCACTTCCTGCCCCTCGGGGCACCCGTCCGTCCCCCGCAGCATCAGCAGCACCATTCGTCGTCACAGTCCCCTCCGTCCTTCTCGCCTGCCCACTCCCACTCCCACACAAGCCAACCCAACCCGTACTTCCAGCCATCCCGCATCTCCCCACCCAAATACCCGACGGACGGGTTCGTCTCAAACGCGCAGCGCTTGTCGTCGCCGCCGTTCCATGCCGCCGCCGCCGCCAACGGCCGCCACCCGAACGACCAGTTTGACTCTGACAGCATTTGCGAGAGCGCCAACTCGGCCAACTCCCACAACAACCTGTGGGTCACCGCCATGGAATCGAGTCGCACCGACAGCGCCACCAAGCCAGGACCCATCACCCACCAAGACACGGCCAGTCTCTGGGATGACGACGACTCGAACGCACGCGGCAGCGGCAGCTCGTACAACTGCGGCGACTCGTTCATGAGCGGCTCGAATGGCGGTGGCGGTTCGTTCAACTACAGCTCCGAACACATTGGCGACGTGTCCCCGTTTGCCTTTGGCACGCCCGCCCCCGATTCGGGGAAGAACTCGATTACGCTTTAGGAAAAACACTAGGATGACGTCGATGTGATATAAATCTATAGTGCGAGGAGGGATATGCTGCACATAATCCAACAGCTCAACTCGATTGCACTAGCATCCGTGTTGTATGAAGGCGTCGTTGTGCATGGACGTTGGGCACTTTGAGTGGAAGAATAGTCATATATTTGGTTCTATTGGAGGCCTCTACAGATGGTTTGATTTCAGTCACGGACACGGCCATCGCCTCCGCCATGCACTTATGCCGCCTTTTCAAACACCTTCTTCTCGAGGTTCTTGAGGAACTACATCAAGCATTAGTCTACGCGGAGAGAGAGATGATGAAGGCTTACGATGGCGCCTTCTCGGCGAGCGTTCCATTCAGACAGGGGACCTGTGACCACCGACACGAACGTGATGACGCCGCCGCCGGCGAGCAACAACTTGGTAAACGACTTCATTCCCACGCAGTACTTTGGACGGAAAATGCAAGGCAGCCAATGGTCGAGTCTTCAAACGAGGGGCTGTTCTTGTATCAAATTCATGCGTTTCATTGGCTAGAATTTGGTCGCCTTGAAGGCAAAACAAATGATGCACCGCTTCCATGCCGCCACCGCGCTCGTGACGCGTCGGTCGTCAGCCTTCGCCTCCCATTTGACGCTTCGCAATGCGACGACCTCATCACCGTCATCGCCACCTCTCCGTGTTCTCTTCTTCGGCACGGACAACATCTCGTTGGCAACGCTGAAGCGGCTGCATGCAAGCATGTAATGATCATGCCCAGTGCCATATGTGGGTTCACATGACATGTAGGATTGGGCAGTCAAAAGCGACGCAGCCTCCTTTGATCCAAGACATAGAGGTACATGTCGTATGTCTTCGGACATCCTCTGTACTGACCGAATGCACAGATCATTTGTCCTCCAGACAAGCACATGGGCAAGGCTCGACACAAGGCGCCTGTTCCTGTCAAAGCGTTTGCGCTGGAGCACAATTTGGTGGTCCACCACATCCCTGACAACGTGTACGCCATTCATAGTCTCCATATCATATCAGAGTGTTACCATCGTCGTAGGAAATCCCTCAAGGACTGGGCCATGCCGCCTTCCGCTGCACCGTTCGACATTGGCGTCGTCGTGTCCTTTGGCTACTTCATTGTACGCAACGACGTCACATGTCATGTTCACTCACTTATGGGCGTGCGTAGCATCCACACATGCTGGCGAATGTCAAGCACGGCGCCATCAACATGCACCCGTCGCTATTGCCCAAGGTATGTATGTATACTCACGTGAATCTTCAGACTTCATGTTGGGTTTATGTGTGGCTAGTACCGAGGCCCGGCCCCCATTCCCCGAGCGCTCTTGCATGGTGATACCACGACTGGCATTTCTGTGATCGAAATCGATCCGTTGTAAGTGTCCGCCTATTGTCCTCTGCAACATGACGATCTTTCAGTCGTAACACCGTTATAATATGTCGGATGTAGGGCGTTCGACGTGGGTCGTATTCTTCTCCAAAAAGAACTGCCGATTCCTCCAACCTCTACCTATCACAGGTATACGAATTGAATGAATCGCAGTCATATTTACGTCAAGATCGTCATTGAGTACAGTACTACTCCTACCGATCGTCATTGAGTACTACTCCTACCGATCGCCATTGAGTACTACCGATCGTCATTGAGTACTACTACTCATACAGATCGTCATTGAGTACTACTCCTACCGATCGTCATTGAGTACTACTACTCCTACCGATCGTCATTGAGTACACTACTCATCCGACACACAACTATAGTTTGTCCGCGCACTTGGCCGAAGAAGGCGCCGAATGCGTTGTGCAAGTGCTGCAAGATCTAGACGAGAAAAAGAAGCACGCGGTGGTTCAAGTACGAAATATATCATCCGCTAGAACTATCATTAAAGCCATATATATGATCATCATGTGACGCTTCTCTTGTTAGGACAACGCGGTAGCGACGACAGCTCCCAAGATCAAGCGCGAGGTAGAACGCTAACAGTTAGCTCGCTGTCGATTCATGGCGTGTTCATGCGTTGTGGTTGTAGCACGGCATCGTAACTTGGAACGAGCCCCAGGACCAGCTCTACAACGTAACTACTATCACTTGTCGCATGTCCTAGTCATGCATATGCAGATGTGGCGAGCGGTCGGCGAAACAGTTGGCGTCATGTGTGCGTTTGCATCCAAGTCCGTGATGCTGATTGAGATGCACGTGCCGTCGGTGGCCGACGTCGCCGCCATGGAGACGCACATGGCCACATGGACGTCGCCGCCTCATCTGGACCAACTCGACGCCGGGTCGTTCTTCTATGATCGGTTTTACAATGCGCTGTGGGTTCGTACGGCCGACACCAAATGGGTGGTCGTGACGAAAGTGCAGCCGGCGGGCCGAAAAGTGTTTACGCCGGCGGACTTTGCCAATCAAAACAAACTCCACCCGCGAACGCAGTACGAGTTCGACGCGGTGCTGAAGGAATAATAGTCACCGACATATATGCCCAAAGCAGTTGAACCAACCCAACTAACTGTACACGGATAGGACTTCGTATTCCTACAAATATGTACTGTACAGTACAGTACAAACCTCACTCGATTACTCTTTCAATGGACATAGTGTAGCTTACCGGTGGCTCGTCCAATTGTACAGAAGAATCGGCAGAAGAATTGAGCCAATCAGATTGCAGGAAACCACATCGACGTTTAAATAGTGTGCGGTTTCAATTAGTGTGAAACCAATCACCACAGGGCAAAGCGTAAGGCACATCTGTTCGGGAGAACGTGACGTACTACTGTAGGTAGTACACAGCGTCAGAACTACTAGTACTACATACTAGTCCTGTACTACAGTAGTATCTATCGTGAACCTTCCTCCAACCAGTAAGTTGACATTACTAGTACGAGTTTGGTCGCTCCAACTTCAATGCAACACGAGTGGCAACAGACGTGTTGAATTACATGATGGCACACGCGGCGGGCGGGGCTTTGTCGGGGAGCCGTTCGAGGTCCCGCGGCTGGATGTACCCGACGGCGTACGAGAACTGGACGACAAACACTCGTCTTCTGTAGCCTAGCACGACGCCTTGGCCAAAGGGGGTCTTGACCACATCGCCCATGGCCGCCGCCACCACGTCGCCGACACTGGCCGCATCCAGGAACGCGAGCATGCCCGACTTGAACGCGACCACGTGCACGTCGTCGGTCGGGCGGACGGCTTCGAGCACCCCCGGGCCCCACAGCGTGCGCACGGGTTTGCCGAGCTTGGGGTTGGGCGGCGGGGCTGCAGCCTCCGCGGCACCTCCTCCTGCTACTACTGGGTCCTTTTCCGGCGGCGGTTTCGAGTCAAACCACATGGTCGTGCGCCGCAGCCGCGACAGCAGCCCCAGCCCGGACCCCCGGACAGGGACCAGCTCCTCGACTAGCGCATCGGCTTGGACAAACACTTGGAAATTTTCGAGTCGGCTGGCTGACAACGTCACGCCCACGACGCCGGCGTCGTTGGTCGCTGCCGACACGATGCCCGGGCCAAACGGCGACTGCACCTTGGTGTGGACTGCCCACTGCCGAACCAATCGACGCGGCCGAACCACGGGGCGCACCGTCGACGCGTGCACGTACCCGACCATGGAGCCGCCACTCGACGCAACAAACTGCACTTGGTAGATCGAGTGTTTGGGGCGGAACCTCTGGACGCGGGCGATCCCGAACGGGGCGACAGACACCAACGTGTGCAGTCTGAACGGATGGTGGTGGGCAGAGTCGCCGGGGGGGGATAAAAGTGTGACGTGGCGAGTCTGCACCGACACGGTGACGAGTGCCAGGGCTGGATCGACCAGCGTCACGCGGTACACATCCCTAGCGTACGACACGACAACGCCGACGCCGAACGGCGTTTGTACGCGGGAATGTTCCGGGAACGTTCGTTCGTCCAACGTCGTGAGGTCGTCGAGAAGGTTGGGGGACGACGACGACGACGACGCCGGCCCTTGCGACGGCGACGCCATGAACTTGAACTTTTTTGCAATGTACCCAATCGATGACCGCACAAAACTACTCCGACTGGACGGCGTGCTGTCGGGGGGTACGCTCACGACGTGGCGCTGGCAGTAGAGGGTCCCGACGTGCCGGACCTGCACGATGTACACGTCGTCCGGGCGGTACGACAGCACGACGCCGGGGCCGAAGGGGGTGACCACCGGCGTCCGCAGTGGCAGCACGCCTTGCGACAGCAGCAGCGGATCCATACTCGACACCATGCTCGCTCGGACGTACGACCCGGGGTTGTGCGACGGCGGCAAGGTCGTCGTGACCGCGGCCAATGAGAAGTCGTTGAGTGGGCGTCGGGATAAGCTGGCTTCGGGGAGGTACGCCTTGGCGGGTTGTTTGTTGGCCGACCGGGTCCACCACTCGACAAGGTCCACAGCGTAAATGCCTGTGACAGCGTTGTATGCGACGATGAGGCCCTTGCCAAACGGGGTCTCGAGGACGGTCCCGACGTCGTACCGCTGGGGCTTGCCGATCAGCGGCACCGACTGCTCCTGGAGGATTTCGTTGGCGCTGGTGAAATCCACGTTCAACTTGACGCGGTTCGCCTCTCTTCGGTCGGCGTCATGGGGCTTCCACTGCATGGCGAGGAAGGTCGCGGACGCCTCCTCTGCCACCTGCTGCAGCCCTCGCTTGGAGATCTGGTGCAGCCGGTACGCCTGCACGGCCGCGCCCACGTACGTGTCGAAGAAGAAGATGTTTTGGCGCTTATACGTGTCCTTGTCGGTGAACCCGTGGGTCGATTCCAGCGGCTGGACCAAGTGGAAGTACCCCGCCTCCAGCACGGACGACCCGTACGTGTCGGCGATGAGCTGCGCGGCGCGGACGTCGCCTTGGCCGTTGTCCCCGATGAAAATGTGCTTGTACTCGGGGTAGATGGCATAGTATTCGCGAAAGTTGTCGAATTTTTTGAGCGCCATCGGCTCCAAGTCGCCCTTGACCACAAACGCCGTACCGCTCGCGACGCTGCCCGCCAGCATCGACGGCAAGCAGTGCAGACCCCGCGTCGAGTGCAATCGGTCAAACTTTTTGATCGATTTCTTCTCCGACAGGTCCTTGTACACGTGTGGCCGCGCCGAGATGAACGTGAGGTTCCCAAGCCGGCCGTCTTCCCACGTCGACGACGACGCCGCCATGTTGTTTGGTCCGAGGTCCAGTTCGCGGTAAAACGTGATCACGCCGGGGTACACTGTGTGTCGCGGGTACGACTGATCGACCCCCGCCGGCCACATGCCCCCCGACGACTCGAGCGTGTCGTCGACGTCGCTCAGCACCTTGCGCCACTCGAGCTGCTTGCGCTTGCCGCCAATGTTCTTGGTGCTGATCTGCATATGCGCTAGTTGGAACTTGGCTTGACGCTGGATGTGGTTTAGTACCGCCGCTACGTTGCAACGTAGCATACTCGATAAGTATAACCATTCACACAATGAGATGGGGAAGCACAATAATGTACGATATACCCACGACGATACTGCAATCTCGTGGCCACTTCAATATCAAATCATAGAGGTACTATTGTTGTGTCTGGAGAATTGCATCACCAAATCATGCATGTACAGAAGAATGAATGGATCGGCAGAACAACAATGGAGCCAATCAGATTGCAGGAAACAACCATGATCAACGTCAAATTAGTGTGTGTGACTGAAATTAGTGTGATATGTCCAAAGTTGGGTAATAGGGCAAAATATCATTCCGTACTACAACTTACTTCGAACGGCGTCGCTTCGAATGTCATGGTAAACCAGTTGGTGCATCGTGTGCACTGTGCCTTTCGAGTCGGTGGTGGACTTGAGCTACAACACCAATCGACTGGATGGTGAGGACTACCAAGAGGTGATCATGATAGAGTGTACAATGGACAGGTCGTCGCCCGTGGTGCGGAGCAGAATGTTCTTGGCCCATAGCTCGCCCTTGGCGTGCGCCGTGAGCTTCATGAGCATGAGCGCGTCCAACACGATCGCGCGCGAGTTGACGGTCAGCTCCATCACGCGCGTCTCGCAGAGCAGCTGGCAGATGTGGGTGCGACACGGGTCCTTGACTTTGTAGAACAGGAGCGCCAGCTGAATGTGCCCCAGGATATAATTTAGTTCGGTTTTCTCGGCCTTCATGAGGATGTCCAGCACGCGTTGTTCCTACTCAAGTCCGCGTGACATACCTTCAAAAGTCACCATCCCGTACCTGGCCCTTGACTTGTTCGCCATTCACAATCAAGTTGATGGTCGACGGGAGATAAATAGGATCGACGGACGCGACGCACTGGGCGATGATGCTCGTCTTGGTATGCGCCGTGTTGATGTCCTTGGTTAGCTGCGGGCGCGTTATTCGCCCTTGGTTCGCCAGTTGCTCGCGATGGATGTGTCGGTCTAGAAACTGCACAGCCAACGTGAATGCGATCACGAGGACGCATCCCAGGGACGTGCTGTACCGGCCGATGGCGAACGGCGAGTCCTTGCTGTAGAACAGCGCCGTGCTGAATAAGAACGCCATGACGGTCCAGAACCGATTCTCAAACTCTTGGGCGTGGTGCCACGCTTTGGACTCAAAGCCAAGGTACAATCCAATCACGTACAGGATGCCCACACAGCACGCGCACAACACAGGCGCGTACGAGAAGAATGCCAGGAACAAGAAGGACACTACCATGGTCAGCAGCAACGCAAGCACCAGCACGATGATGCCCATGTTGGACTTCCTTGCCTTAGCAGGAGCACCCATGGAAGGCAAGGTAGTGTGGAGAAAGGGTGCGAAGGAACGAAGAAGTCGCCGGCACCGCCGCCGTTATTGTATGAATGGAAAAAACGCACATCGTGATTTGGTCGGGCCATAACAACCTTTCACTTGACGTTTGTATGGTCCCTGCATCTTTTTTTCGGTGCGGTGTGTCGGTGTGTCGGAATCAAGAATTGTATTTAATACCTTACCATTTGTATGTAATATTCAGCGAAATGATTTTAATTGCATCAAGGTGTATGCGATTAGGGTTGAATCTTGCTTGATCCACTTGCCCAATCACCAAAATGCACTCTATCAACGAATACACTATCTCCAGTGACAAGTATTATATGTTGAAAGGTATTCAATTACATAGGTATTTTGGCCTTCAACTTGCATGTATCCACCGGCTTGACGACCTGAATATGCATTGATAGAGGTAATGCAGTCGAAATGCCCTTTGTGTGGTGATGTCACGATTCGTAAGCACGTGATGAACTTCGAGGAAGTTGAGTGAGTATACATGACATCACCGCATGTCGCACGACGATGCGTGGCTCCGAGCGCTCACTGGACGCGTACCACATGGGGACGACAGGGCCACGTGCTGCGCCGTCATGCTTTTGCGAATCGACGGTCGCAGTGAACAGTTCACCCGCATCGCTGACGTAGTACAAACAAGAAGGTTGGACTTATTTATCACTCGACTTCTTCAAAGAAGTTCCATATGCAGATGCAGCAGTCGTCGCCAACCGACACGAGCTGCCGCTCGTCTGGACTCCATGTGACTTGCTGAATGCCGCCCGAGTGTCCGAGCGCACACGCCAACAACACGTCGCGTTGGATGTCGAACACCTTCACGTGGCAGTCTTCCCCGCCCGTCGCAAGATATCGCCCTATCAACCCATTGTCATCTTCATGACAATGCCATCATGCGACCGGTACCTGAAGGAGACACCTGAAGTGACGAAATGCCCATGCGATTCGGGTCGGACATCAACTTGACGTGCTCGGTCACGTCGCAGTCCCAAAACAACATGCGACCGTCCGCGCCGCCCGTCACGATCTCGTTCTCGCTATCCAGTCGCTGGCTCATGGTGTGGAACGCACCTTCTCGAACCTGGTGCACGACGACTCTGCGCTCGGCTTTGAGGTCGTAGATGAATAGCGCGCGGTCCAGCCCACACGAATGCACCCAATGCGGCTTGGTCACGTCCACCAGCACTTGCGTGACGCCGCGCTTGTGCTCGTGGAACTGCAAGAGCAGCTCTCTCGTCGTCAATGACCACACGTTCACCCCGCCGTCGCTCGCACCGCTGACCACAATCTTGCCCGTCGCTGCAACCGACGTCACATCGCCACGGTGGGCACCGGAAATGTGCCACATTTTAGCCTATCAAAGGGTCGTTAGTTTAATAATTATGAAACCGTCAAATATGTACCCCTGTTGTGGCGTCGTAACATCGAAGCCATCCGTCACTCCATCCGGTGACGATCCATGTCGCGCCAGGTTGCAGTGGAGATGGTGCGTAGCAGACGCTGCGCCCAGCGGCGTTATCTGCCGCCATGCACCGCACAGTGTACGTGGAGAGGTCCCATACCTTCATGCTTCCGTCCTTGGCAAGGCTCACGAACGAATCGCTGTGGCCACCTCCGAACGCGACCGACGTGACCGGCGCGAGATGGCTCGTTGCGACTTCGCGAACACGCAGGTCTACGGTAGACACTTGGTACAACTTTCCTGCGGTGGTGCCCGCGACAAGGGTCGAGCCGTCGCAGGACACGGCGAGACCGACAATGCCCCCGAGCAGCTGGACATGGCCGACGAGGTTCCAGTCGACTTGGGCACCGACTAGCTTCTTCAGGACGCCGTCTCCTGCCCCGACGTAGATGAAGCCGGACGTGGCGTCACACACAACGCTGTGGACGCCGTTGGTTGAGATCGGAATCGTACTCTTAAACACCCGTGCGTCCGTGTTGAACACGACCAACTCGCCGGCGATGGTGCCTGCGAGAAGCATGTCCTTGCTTTGGGTCATGGTCGCAGAGAGGTAATCGCGGACGAGGCCCGTGGATGGCATGGAGCAGGGGAAGCTCTCGAGCTTGTACTGCATGCATGCAATGTCGTACGAGAGGTCGTTCACAACCAGCTGACTCGTGCACGCAAACGTCAATGTGTACTTTGGTCGGCGACTTTTCTCTTCGACGCGACCCCAGTTAAGGATGGCCACAGGCGATGGAAACGACTTGGTCAATATTACCTCGGACGTCTACATATGCAGCGTCAACCAAAGTGCAATGTGATCATGGAGTACCCGCATGTCCCAGAGAATGACGCGGCCGTCGGCGCCAGAGGCCACGAGGAAATGGTCGTCGGGTGAAAACGCCATCTTCATGATCTTGCAATGAAACCCTTGAAGTTGATACAATTCTGCCCGCGAATTCAACTCCCACACGACGATCATGGCGCCTACACTCTTTGCGAACGTCAATATCCAGTTCACGGTGGAAACGTTACATTTCTCTTGGATGACGGCAATTGCCCCGACGCTAGAAGTAAACCGGACCGCGATATCGCCATGGAAGTGATCTCTTCGTCGTGGCCGCGCAAGAACTCTTGTGCGTGCGGGTCCGACAGCCGCGCCACCACGATCGCTGCTCCCATGCTGGATCCAGGAAGACATGTCAAGCATGTCCATTAGGCATGAAGAAGGGCGTCTACCTCGTGAGATACACATCGGGGTCCCTTGGATGGGTATGCACCGTGTCCTTGCCGCGGCCCGTGTACCCCACGACATGTTCGAGCTCCAACGTCGCCATGGTGCAGTCGTCACGACCTTTCGAAACCTTTGGGTTGGATTCCGGTTGCAGCACCTTTTTATCCGGACAATCAACTCTGCAAAGATGATTGCCTGCAAGACGAGGTTGTGGGGCCGCTATGGTGCTGGACATGCGCCAGTCACGTCGAGGACGACGACGACGCGGCCTTCATCGTTTACGACGGCATCGCATCAAACCGGACTCTTCGGACTGCAGGGTTTGGTCCGTCCTGATGATTTCGCGGCGTTGGGTGCTCGTGCCATCCGCGAAATTGGCCGGTTGAAGCACCGCATCTTGTCGACGCCTCCAGGACTGTCGACAATTCAAGACTTGGACGCGATTTCCAATGAAGTGTGCATTGTGATCGATGCAGCGGAGCTGTGTCGCAACGTGCACCCGGATGCGTAAGATGCTGGTGATGCTAAACGAACTTGTATTAACACCAACAATCCCATCACCATGCAGGCAATTCCGAGCCGCCGCGTCGAATTCGTTTGCCCAATTGTCGACGTTGATTCAACAACTCAACACGGACACCGACATGTACCAGCGCTTGCGAGACGTCACGGTCGACGAGTCGCTCATGGCCACATTCACAGGTGCGCCGTCCATCACTCGTCCTCCTTGCATGTTGTTGATGTGTTAGCATGTAGAGGAACAGCGTCGGGTTGCGTTACTGCTTCGCGCCGAATTCGAGCGCGATGGGATTCACTTGGACGCCAACGGTCGCGCCAACGTCATCTCACTGCAGAATGACATCACACGGTCTGTCCGTCGTCGCACTATGATCATCTCGCTGTACTTAAGCGAATGTTAGACTGAGCTCGGAATTCCAGCACAACATTACCACCGTTCGAGAGCATATTCGGGTCCTTCCTGTAGCTCGTTGCCAATCGATCGTCACACTTTCCGCGTAGGTACCCCAAAGTGCGCTCAAGGACCTGCCTGCGTCGTATATGCGACACTGCTCGGTCCAAGGGTCGTCTGTGCTCGTGCCCACGGATTCGCATGTTATGCACGCCATCATGAAATGGATCCCTGACCCCGCGGTGCGCAAACAAATGTACTTAGCTGGCAACACAAGCCCCAAACAGAACCTCCACGTACGTCCCCTGAACATTCGTAGGACTTTCCAACTAAGTACTATTATGGTTGGTAGGTGCTGGATGACTTGATTCAAGCTCGTCACGCCGTCGCGACCACGTTAGGGTTTCCGACCTATGCGCATTTGGCCACCAGGTACACGATGAACAAACATTCTTGTCAAATCCACTCCAGAGTTTTGATTGGTTGAATATACTTCTGTAAGAGCCAATCAAATCCACTCGAAATTCGATTAGCCAATAGCGTCGATTTGTGATTCGACGAGGACTGGAAATTTATCCCGAATCCACAATATTTGAGACTAAAAAGGTGTTGTTAGCCGAATCGAATGAACTTGACAAATGTATTTGAGAATGTTATAGCCAATCAAACTCACTAAATAGGAACTTCAACCAATCATCGATTAGTATAGTTTGGCCCAGTCAAATACTTCGAAGTACATGCCAAGCTTATGCTTAAAATCTGTTTCGAATCGATCCTGCCAAGTCCAAGCAAAGGCCATATATATATATTTTGATATAAAAAGTGAAGTATATATGTCTCCAACACACCCCAATGATGTGTGACGCAGTGACAAGATGGCCGAGAGTCCTGACGGTGTGGCGGCGTTCCTCGAGTCGATTGCGTCAAACTTGATGACCAAGGCGAAGTCGGAGCGCCAGCTTTTAGCTCAAGCCAAGCGCCACCACGAGCCTCCTAATGCTGGATCCATCCAGCAGCAGCTGCGGACGTTGTTTGGGCAGACGACCAGTAGTGCTCATGATGACGTGGAGAGCTGGGACGTGCCTTATTACATGGGCATGCTCAAAGCGCGGCACCACCACCTGGACTCGCGCGTGATTTCGGCCTACTTTCCCGTCGACAGGTGCATCGATGGGCTGCGGCTCATTTGCGACCAACTATTTGGGGTCCACCTCACAGACACCGCCATGGCACCGCACGAGTCGTGGCATCCGGACGTCCGGAAGCTCGTCGTGACCCGACACGACCGGCCCGTGGGGGTGCTGTTCCTGGATTTGTACCCACGGCCAAACAAGTACAATCACTTTGCGCACTTTACCATTCGATGCGGCAAGCAACTCCCGACGCACTACCAGACGCCCGTGGTCGCGCTCGTGTGCAACTTTCAGCAGCCCACGGCCGACACGCCGCCCCTTCTCACGTACGTCCTGTCCATGGTGACGACATTCGTGACAATGGCGCAGGCATGGCGAAGTCGAGACATTGTTCCACGAGTTTGGCCACGCGCTGCACTCGGTCTTGTCGCAGACAGAGATGCAGCATGTGAGTGGCACGCGCGGTCAGCTGGACTTTGTTGAAACACCGTCGCACTTGTTTGAGTACTTTGCGTGGGACCCCCGCGTAGTTGAAACCTTCGCGAGACACTTCGACACGAACGAGCCGATTCCACGGTCGATGGTCGCCAATTTGAGGGCGTCCAAGCACATGTTTAGTGCCATGGACACGCAGGTAGGATCGTAGGATGATATGGTTGTGATATCTTTGGATATGAAACTGGTACATATTGTCGATTTGATACAAATTTGGGGAGGGGCCAAACCGATCCACAATCGATCTGATTGGTTGAATTTCGTTGAAAAGGTTTTGATTGGCTAATAATTTTGAACTCATCTGAAGTAGCCAATCAAATCGATTTAAATTTCAACGAGAAACCACAACACGAAATTTCACTAAAAAGCACTATATATACATACCCCGGATATTGTCCATTGACCCCAAATTTGGACTACTTTTGTGCGTATTCACGAAATCGATTGATCGATTTACGAATTCAAGGCACACGTGAATTCGAGTTTGAAGGTAGTGGGTTTGATTGGCTACTTGATTTCGTGATCTGGGTTTTGATTGGCCGATTTTCGATTCTCATTTGGTTAATAGTAGTCTGCTCATTCGATTGAGATTTCGAATCGACTTGGCACTATAAGAATCGGATCCTGGTTCTATTACTGAATACTATGCTAAGTAACAATCATGTAGACGCAATGCTTGTATTCGATGCTGGATCTGACGCTATTTGGGACCCAGCCGTTGCCGTTTACCCCCCCGACGACCACCCAAGCGCTGCAGACGCTGCAGAACCAGCACACGCTCGTGCCTTTCCCCACGGGGACGCACTGGCACACCCGCTTTGGCCATTTGGTAAGTCGTTTGAAGGGTGAACATACTAACAAGATCATATTGGATTAGGTCAACTATGGCGCGGGGTACTACAGCTACCTGTACGCACGCGTGTTTGCGGCAGACGTGTGGCAGCACTGCTTTGCCGCAGACCCGTGGAACCCCAAGGCCGGCCAAGTGCTGTACGACGAGGTGCTCCGGCACGGCGGCGCCAAGGACCCCATGGACATGCTCGTCAACGTGCTCGGCCGACGGCCTACGATCGACAGCTTCGTCAACGAGCTGGGGATCCGCCACAAGTAACTCGTATTCACATCAACTACTTCTACCTTGTACTACTATTAATAGTATGTAGTGCTACGTAGTACTTTGAAATTACCAAACCCCATAGTAATAACGCTACTTTGATACTGTGAACTTCGTACTATTATATTAATAGGAATGCCCGCTGAAATAATATTATTTTGCAAGTCAACGTTAGATAAAAAAAACTGTTCCACTATCAAACCATCATCCGGATGAGTGTTTGTTTATCTCCGGATGAATGCTTGTCTCTATCCGGATGAATATTATGTTTTATCCGGATGAACACTCACAGCGTTTGCTCCCACTTGACCAGGCAGACGTCGCCATCATGCTGCATCGCGCCAGTCGTTCCATCCGATTGCCCGCGTGGGCGGCGCTGTCTGCCCACACCCGCTGTTTGGTACTTCTAGCCACTCATGCCGTATCATCCAGAGGTGTCATGCGTCGATGGACTTAGAGTGGATACACGTCAAATCAAGTTGGTGTGAAGGGCACGATCGACAGTCGCCTCGTGTTCGTGAATGCGTCGAGCGGTGCTGCAGTGTCTCCGTGGCACGACATTCCATTGCGTCCAGTGGGGGAAAAAAGCTCCTATGTGTTCCATTTCGTAAACGAGATCCCCAAAGGGTACTACTACTACTGTACACCGGCCATGGCAGCCGGTGCTCACGTCGATGTAGGACCCGTGCCAAGATGGAGATTGCCGGGGAAGAAGCACGGAATCCCATCAAGCAAGACGTAAAGAACGGCAACTTGCGGTACTTGCACGTACTTATTCGTTACATTTGCCTCACCCTCGCATATGCGCAGGTTTTACCATTTTGACTCGCTCGTCAACTACGGGTGCATTCCGCAGACGTGGGAAGACCCGCGCCACATTGATCCGGCTACTCAACATGGAGGTATTGTGCATTTTGCCCAAATTTGGCCTTGTGAGTCATTTTCGCCAAATATCCTTCGTTTGATCTGATTTAATCTTGATAAAAGTATACAATACACAAATTAGTATATTTGGGATTTGCCCAATGCGGAGTATCAATGGTTTTGGATTGGCAGAAATTCGACAGAACGTGATTTGATTGGCTTCTTACGACATTGAGGGGTCGAATCGATTGGTCAATAACGTTATGACTGTCCAATTACAGTGGTTGTTTGCCGTAACTTACGCTACTTCACTGTATATGACTTTAGGAGACAACGACCCGATCGACGTTTGCGAGATTGGGTCGCGGGTGGCGGCGGTGGGCGACGTCTATCCAGTCAAAGTGCTAGGTGTGCTGGGCATGATCGACGACGGGGAAACGGACTGGAAGGTCATCGCCATCGCCACCGACGATCCGCTAGCAAACAAGCTGCATGGTATGGTCAACATATTGGCTTTTTTAGTAAGGCCAATAGTATCACCACGAAAAATTAACAAATATGCGTTCATTTTGGACTATTTGGCTGACTTTTTAGATTTGGACGACCTGCATGCGCATGCCCCGGACACGGTCGCAACCATTCGCAACTGGTTTCGCGACTATAAAATCCCCGACGGCAAGCCGCCCAGCGCGTTTGCTTTTGACGGACGTGCGCAATCCCGCGTACGAAGGAATCCCTTTAGTTCACTAGATGGGATGGGAATATTGCCGTTTCAGCCAAAAATATGGGAATATTTGTACTGATTTACCAACTCTATCAATTTCTTGACCTGAATGTTGTGTTAACAAGGGTCGCCCTCCATACTAATATTTCAGTCATAAATTTACTATTAATAGTACACGAATAACTTACGATGTGGAATGACTGTAGCGAAAAATAATTTGATTGGCTACTTGATTCGTGTCCTGTGTTTTGATTGGTCGTATATCGATTGTCTGTCGATTTGATCGATTGAGCACCCCACTCGAATTTTGAATTGACTTATAATATGATGAGATAGGACTTTGCCGTGGATGTGATCGAGCAAACCCATGCGTCCTGGAAGCAACTGGTGCACGTGAACAACCAGACCAAGCTCTGGACCAAGTAAATGCAAGTGCAACTAGCACGTCACCACCTTGCACTGCAGCCGTTACTTGTTGCTACTATTATAATAGTAATAGTACTACTACTGTACTAACGTTACTATAATAGTAGTACTATTGTGCTTTGCACCTTTTTTGGCAATTCCAGGGTTAAATTCATTGTTTAAAAATTTCTCAGGCTTAAATAATGTCTAAAGTAACTTGAATAACGGTTGGGTGCGTTGCTTAAAGTTACTTCATCTAATGCGATGATTGGTTGGTTGAAGGTGGTTTTACTGGA